ATGTGTGTGTGTTAGGTTTGTTGTTATAATTAACGTCTGGCAGCCTTGGGGCCTTGTGTATGTGGGTTGTATCCTGGCAGAGTAATCACACACACACATATACACACAGTGCAGTCCTTGTCAATCTATTTCCACGCATCCGCTTGTAATTACAGAAAATTGTGTTATTGAATGGTGCGGCAATGTCAAATGTACATTTTGCAACTCCCCCCCAAAAAAACACAGGAAATCTGTTTGGGGACATGTTTCCCAGCAGTTCATGCATTGCACGAAGTCGGACACTGTCTACTGTTTAATTCACATTAAACCCAGACAACGCGAAAAAAAGGACGTGTAAACAGATGGTGGTGGGTGCAGCGTTTAGCGCAATGCGATTTGAACTGCTGGGTGACCTGAGTTGAATTCCCAAACACGGCTAATATCGTTGGCGACTGACATCTAAACCAGTCCTGCCAACCTCGCCTTCACCAACCCTTCCTGACCAGCGTGGTTAAGTATGGTCAAGTAACCACCATGATGCAAACGACATGTGGAGGCCTTCATCCAGAAGTGGAATGACAAAGGGCTGTAATTTTAATGGTGATTAAATTCATAGTTTTGTCATCGTGACATCCTTTTCTTTGGAATATCTTTTGAATATCAGGGACGAGAAGGATTCAATGTTTCGTCACTCATTCAAATCCCTCTATTCTATGGCTTCTCTAATCTGCTACAGTGGCTGATCACATCGTGTATAAGAGGAGTTGGATGGAGTGCCCTCGTCGCAAGTATGTGGAATTTCCACCACTGCCTCAGAGCTGTAAACAGACGCCCTGTATACAAGGCTGCCAAACTTCACCCCACCCTCCCCCTTATTGGTGGCCTTGAGCAAGTAATAAAAATTCCACATTCCCATGACAGGATCAGTCTTATCCATGAAGACAAATGTTGACGTTCCACAATTGTACTTACTGGATTCGCCCTGGAGGGATGATGATGACGTCGACTTTCTACCAATTAAAAAAATGCGAACTGAATCAGCGGCTGCCATCACACAAATATGACGCAAGCATAGTTTGTGCTGAGAACATAATGACCACCGCAAGTTTAATTATGTATAATTGGCCAAAAAACATTCCACCCACGCTCGTGTTAAGCGTGGGGTGGAAATTCCACATTCCCGTGACGGCAGCAGGTCTATTCATAGGGCAACCACTGTTGACCTTCCCATTGAATAGACCTGTACCCGGATTTAAACTCGCAACATTATTATTGTGAGCGTTTAAAATCAAACTATATCTTTGGCGAGGCTGCTGTGTTGGCAGTTCTGCACAAGCACAGTTAACAAAATACTCAACACATTGCCGTAACTATCGAGTCCTCACCAACAACACTGCCCTTATAGGGGGAATATACATATTATAAAAGACGAAGTTTCGGGCAAAGGCTTTTCTTGATAGATTGATTGTGAGACAAACGACTTGACCTAAATCAGAGGCACGATTGCAGAAGATAGTGGAATGATAGGAATGTTACATACAGACCAATGACCCTGTGAGTACGTGTGGCCACGTGTTCCATTTAAACGTGGAACGATACAAACAACATCTGAACACATTCGTCAATAATACTGTAGCCTTAAAAGTAAAAAAAAATCTATATGTAACCGGCGACGTTTCGGGAAATAGTCCTTCTTCATAGCACACTGATACAGCTGCATTGTTAGAATGCGCTGATGTCGCAGACATAACAGCCATCGGTGATCAGAGTGGCTGTTGATGATGCTGCTGTTGGAGATGATTATGCTAATAATGAAGACGTTAATTCCCACGTTGCTGTTCGTATTTGCTGGTGCTTATGCTGAAGATGCAGTTGCTGCTGCTGATAAATATTCTGTAAGCTATTGATGCAGTTACCGTTGCTGATGATGAACATGCTGCTGTTGATGCTGGTTGTTGTTCTCATCTCTCTGACCAGCCCATAACAATTAGTCCGAATGTTGCCAGATCTGCACAACGAAACCTCTAGACTGTGGAACACAACCATGAATATCTAGCGTGTCACTTCATATTGTATAACATACAGAAACAAAACAAAACACCGCACTGACGGACGTGAAGTTCACCCAACTGATCAGCATGGTTGAAATATCAAAACAAATGAGCAGGCAATATGTCACCTTCACATATCCGTCTCTCCACATCAAAAGTAAAGTATTTCTTACTCAACCCATAAGCCGCATAAGCTTCTGGGAGTGCATACATTCAGCATAATCGTTTCAAGACAAGCAAGCTTTGGACTGGTTTTGCCATAATTACGTCTCATTCGCTGATTCACACTTCCTTGAATCATAATGCTGGTGAACTAACGATCTTCTCTGAAAGGATCCTCCTCCCCTTACGCTATGGGGTATGGTTGTTCGTGCTATTTATAAAGAGTGACCAGGAATTTAAATCTAATTCACCGGGTTCACAGCGCTGTATGACTAACCGCAGCGCCACCGCTTCAACACTTCTAAAATTGTGGATAACTTTTTAGCCAAATTTTCTTGTGGTTATTGTTCTTCAACTTAGAGGTGAACTGAAACAATAGTGAATGGCGCGTCGTTAAACCTGTACGCCTGACAATTGGATTCGTATGACTATTTCGAGTGATGGAGACTGAGTAAAACATGGAACGTTGGGCAAAATTTGTTGGTCCAACGGTTCCAACATTGCCCAAACGTTGGCTTGTTTACTGGGAGGTCGCATACCAGGCAACCCCTTATCAGTGCCCTACCTTATTACAGACCAATTCAGACCTTATTGGTCACCCCGTGCCCTTATAAATCTCAACGGTCATCCTACAAAGTCCCATCACAACTGAGAAACACAAACAAATAGACACATTCTTTTTTTGCCATATTGAAACGGCTGTACGCGGTATGGACCTGGAAACTACATTTCCCTGTACAAGACTACCGGGGTAAACCGTGTGGGTTAACAGGTGATCGTCATTATTTGACACGAATGTGTGGCTACCCAGTTCACTCGCAAATGAGATTCGCGCTATTCTCTTGAGTTCGCACCTTTGTTAAATAAAAAGAACCTTGACTTGGAGGGTCTTGCGATAAACATTTGGCCATATCATTAAGTGGCCTCGCCCAAACATATCAATTATGAATAATAACATAGGCGATGAAAACCCGCGCATTAGGGGTGTGAACAAACCTTGAATAAAACAACAACAAAAACAACTAAACACTAAATTTTTATTTAAAGCTTTCGTGACTGCAGTAATTCATATTCTTAGCTCTTTCGGTAAAGTCACGTTGAAGGGAAACAATAATATAACTAAACACTATTTTTGCGTCAATCCCCATCTTCAAAATATAAATCTCTGTCACAATGAACAAGCTACCATAATTTCTAATGTTCCGATTGTTACTGGCCGCTTGTCGTTCTGGGGGCCCTTCGTGTTTGTGTCGTGCTTGGCAGCTGCGTGTTCAAAGTACAAACATCAAAATGATCTCCCCACCCACCCATCCACCCATCCCTCATCTCTCTCTCTCTCCGCAAATTGTAACACGTTCCCACAATCGAGGCTTGGCACAACAGATGGGAAGTCTGGACGGCGGGGAGAGCGAATAGCGCGCGGCTCGCAATCGCGATGCGAGTTGCATCACCGAGCACCAACGCGGCCCTGATGCAACCGGGTCTGGCGTTACAGCACGGGAGCCCACACCACCCCACACACACACACAAACGACCCACGTCGCCTTCCTCTGTTCCACCCACGATGCCAGATGATGTGGGATTTTACCTCTAGACTAAGCGGGGAGGGATGAGGAAGGGGGTGCCCGGCAAAACCTGCGGCTAACGCAGCCTCATGCGGGTCTACACACGGACCGCTTCGTGATGATGTCCACACGCGTCGCGCGGCTCGTGAAATAATCGTGGGAGTTTTTATATTATTTTTTAACCGAATTTCTCACCCCCCCCCCCAAAAAAAAATGTCTCTTCTTTTGTTATGTTGGGTTTTTTGGCCGAATCCTGCCAACGCTGGTTGGCTTTTACAGAGAGGTTACTTGTGTGCGGTGAAGAAGAGCCATTGCGCGAAACGTCGTTCGTTATATATTCATATTTTAAAGGCCACACACAGTGCTATTGTTGACGAGTGCGTTTAATGTGTGTCGTTGTTTTTGATGTTGTTGTTGTATTTGCTCTTGCACCGCTGACAATGCAACATCGCCAAATGATGAATTGCCTGGCAAGTGTGAAATACCCTCAAGAGCTCCTTCTAATGCCAGCAGTGAGCGGGCAATTACACATTTACCTTATTATTCATTTACACAGGAGTTTTAAATGTCGTGTCATACAACATTGTGTGGTATGGACTATGCAAAAATAAAAGTGTTCAGGTTATAGGAATCGCTTCTGAGGCAATACTATTCTGTCTTTCAAGCGCGATTATATTTGTTCAAATACGTGGAAAAGAGCTTCATAGCTAATCGGATTCCTTCAGTCGAAACAAATATTTATATCATAGATATGATTTTACGTACAACATTGATAAACAACATACATTCAAGACCAATACATCCCGTACATTTACACATTTTCTTCGCAAACAATGTACTACATTAAATAGTGTTGTTATTGGCACAGTATGTACTATGAATAAAGGACCATTGCCCGTAACGTCGTATCGTGGTTTGCTTTAAGTGTTATCGGCGAACGTGTGTGCCTGCAGTAGCTGAGCAAATAGAGATATTTATATCGAAGTGAAAGAAAGCTTAAACAACAAAAAAACGTAATACCTTTTAACCTCTGAGAAACCCTTTAAAGATTGACTCCATCCTTTTAACTTTGCGCACTGCAGGATTTAAGCCGCTGCTCACAAGCGCAACACGCTGAGTGCAGAGGGAATCCCTCTGATCTGACACAGTGGGCATTCCCCCCCCCGCCACTCCCTCCTCTCTCCCCAATTCCCATTGGCTGTTATTCCCGGTGGGCGGTGCTTCGCCGCTATATAAGCCACACGTGCGCGTTCCCTGAGGTCCACATGATCAGGGCGGGCCGGAGGCGGTGACTGTAGCCGTAGGGCTGGAACGGCCCAGCCGCAGTCGCGATATCAGAGCTGCACCCACACTGGTCGCAGAATGCTTGGGGAGGTTGCCAGCTCGCTGTGGCTCTTTGGCTACGGCTCGCTCGTGTGGCGGCCAGGGTTCGCCTACAGCGCCGTGCGGGTGGGCTTCGTGCGTGGCTACAGCCGGCGTTTTTGGCAGGGTGACTGCGAGCACCGTGGGACTCCGCAGCAGGTGTGTGTGTGTCTCTCACACCGGCACCGCGTCTCACGTTGAGTTTTATATGTGGCCGCCTCTCACACTGATATACTGCTGCGGCATGGAGCTCTCGGACAACCGAGTTCCCGTTCAAATGTGTGGGGGGGGGGTTTTTCACACTCGGACATTTTTTTCTGCTTCCTGGTAGATCCCATTTCGTCTGGGGGAGGGGGTTCTGGATTGCTGATCTTTCTCCACTCATTCCTATCCTGGCCGTGGTGTTCACGTCCATCCCACACACTCCATCATTCTGGTTTAAACCACCTCTATCTAGATCTCATTGACACCGCTGATAAAAAAAAAACATGTTTTTGTTGTGTTAAATCCACTGATGTGTTGTGCTGTGACGTATCTATTGTTGTCAATGTTGCCTTTATAAGTCGAGGTGCCTATGCATTGGATTAATGTAATTATTTGTAGCTTATTTCTCTGTTCTCAATTGCATCCTAAATGCATTCATTCGGGAAACACAAGGCACGGGTGCGATTTTTTATCCTGGTTGCAAGTTAGATAAATGCTTATGAAGGATGTATACATTTCAATTTCTAAACAATTACTCAATTGGCTCTTACCCAGAGACAACGTAAGCTAGAAACCTGCTCTCAGATACTTGCTATGATCATACAACAAACAGTTGAATGGTCCGTGGATGAGCCAGATCTCAAATTGGTAGCACTTGAAGGGAGGTACATACTTTGACTGGCACTGTTGTTTGTTGCTGGTGGAGGTTGAATGTATGAGGTGATTATTTCAGCCCGTAGGGGTCTTTCCAATTAGCTTTTTCGGCTCGTGACAATGTTTTGAAACGTTAGCATTGATTAAAATACATTATTTTCTTAATGTAACTCCTGAACAGAATATTCACACATTTTACAAGACATGTAGGATCCAGTGAATTATACGAGTGGGAAGCTTTTACACATGCATAATCAACCCTTATTCAGTTGAAGCTGCCTGCGGGGCTGAGCTTTGGAAAATATTTTCCTTCTGCCCCCCCCCCACCACTAATGGGAGAGCGGGTGGGGTCCAGAGTGTTGGAGTGGCCTACATTTTCTGAGAGAAATTAAGCCATTGTGTAATTACAGGTTATTTTTTGTACATCCACTAATCGTCTATTTATATTTTTTGTTGTTTTGCAGCCTGGTCGAGTTGTTACGCTCATCGAAGACAAAGATGTAAGTTGTGATTTTTTTTCGTCATTAAGTCAAATCAGCTTTTGTAGACGTTTCACATTCACGAATGGGGTTTAATTCGTAGCACGCAACTGAGCTTGTTCTTACATCTTAGCAGTGGCCCTTTCAAAGAGTAATTGCTCTTAAACATCTATTTTGGCATTCAGATGACAGCGTTGATGAGTGTTTATTTCCCACGTGGTGATACTCATTTATTCCACCACCACCGGGATGATGGGCTGAGTTGATCTCAAAAGCCACCCGTGATAACACCACCAATTCCTGCGCTTGGATATCCAGGTAATTGAACAAATTTTTAGCAGGAATGCAACGATCCTTGCCTCTGCCACTGGAATATGGAATTTCCACGAGAGTATCCGACCCACTAGGTAGAGATGAGACAAGTATGGGACATGCACACGCAAATATAGTTACTTGTATCCAAATGCACCAATCGCATGGAACACAACACACGGTGTTGATTTTGTTAGAAGGAAACACCGTAGTTCTATGCCAGCAACAACAAAGGATAGAACGTCCTGTGCTATGAATGAATGCCTGTCGAATGATCCCTGCCATCGGTGAAATTCCCTGCCCACGCATCATGACTAGAAAGCACTCCCCATCTCGTGTATCAATTTGGCCGCGGTGTTTTTTTTTGTGGTCACCAGGCAAGCATACACATGTAGTGCGTTCAGGGCAATTCTGCAAACGTGTTGCGTCAGTTATGGGGGAAAAAATACGTAGGTTGTTTTGAAAAACTATTGTTGATGTTCCCGTCAAAGGCACGAGCGTCATGTTACGATTGTTTCCTGAAATAATCCATTCTGATGTCACACGTTTGTGACATTGCCCTCACAGTTAAAGTGTTATTTCAGCTCATACAATCTCTAAACTGGCACTGCTACATTTTCTCGGTACCTGGATTTTTTTTGTTATTGAAGCGTACTAGTAGGAATATATACATTTAAAAGCCATCAACATCTCCTTGCCAAACTGAGGAATTAGGTGTAGTGCTCATCTCCGTTGGTGGCCCTGAACCCTCGGCGGAAATTACACATTCTCATGGCGGGCACCAGTCTCTACATAGATCATTGATGACTTGCCACAAAGCGATACTCGCATTGTCGAGCCTGAGGGGATGATGATCTGAACTCCAAACCCTCTGATTAAAACACTATTTTCAGTGAACAACTTGATAAAATATATACATATATAATCTATGTTTCTGAACAATATGGATACGTCTTTTTTCCAATCTGAAAATAATTTATAATTAACAACCCTTTGCTTATCTTACTACTGGATGAAAGTCTCCCCACACCCCGTGTCAGTAATGCGGGTTGTTTGGCCATACTTGACGTTGGCCATTGGGTTGGTAAAGCTTGTGGCCAGGGACCAGTTCAGATATAACGAGAGTGCTCACTGATGTTATGCATGGCTGAGAAGGGAACTCGGGTTCACCGGGTTCACAGTACAGTAAGTTATGAACTGAACCACCGCCCCACCCCATTGAGTGTTCACACAAAGGTGTGAACACTAATTTAAAAGGGCTTTGAAAACCTTCAGACTTAATGAGGCATTGTTGTGTAAATATTGAACTGTATTTAACTGTGACCAAATTTACCCAGAATGCACCCAATCTAATCAGATCTTGGAAGGTACACAAACTTGAGCCTGGTATCTCTTGGATGGGTGACCACAGATTGTCGTAGGGAGGGTGGTGTTATTACTATACGTCAGGGGTGGGGAACCTTTTTTCTGCCAAGGGCCATTTGTATATTTATAACATCATTCACGGGCCATACATGATTATCAACTTAAAACGTAGCCTGTTATATTTGGTCAAACATTTAATTAACTCGGCCCTAATGTGATGGCTGGAACTGCTTCTCTTTGGCGAGGCGTGTGATGATGTTAGCTGGTATTGACGATGTTGCTGCTACTCACAACTGCTTTTCCAGGTTTGCTCCTAGATTTATTGAATTTCGAGTCCCGCCTGCGGTTGCCTTGGCAGGGCCAGACCAAATGATTTTGCGGGCCTTGTACGGCCCACGGGTCGGACGTTCCCCACCCCTGCTATACGTCTTTGCTTCCACATCTATTCTCCCCACCTTAATCTACACTGACACACGTGGTGCGGGGAGGCCCTCAATCCAGCACAGCAGTGAGTTGATAGAGGGGTTGTACATATGAACCTCATGGCGGTACCCCGGCTCTCGCATAATGTCCGTGATGCGGTAATTGTTAGTCTGTTGATGGTCAGCGATGCAGCGATCGACTCCTCTCGACGACCTGTGCACGATGCACTATTAAAAGTAGAATTTTTTATAACGGATTTTTTATGCTGTTTGGCATTTCGACATCGCGGAGTAGCACTGATTTCGGATTGATTGGTACCCCAGTTGCGGAGTTAAGTACACCCCTGGAAAAAAGTGTCCCAGAAATAAAAAATTTAATTTGCCTCGGCCATTTTGTATGATCATTTGCACTTTAATGTAACCGCGCCTCTTCTTGTATCGCGCAGGCGTGCACGTGGGGTGTCGCATTCGAGGTGCGGAGCCACGAGATCGCGCCCGCCCTCGCCCACCTGGCTGTGCGCGAGCAGGAGCTGGGCGGTTACGACACACGCTTCGTGGACTTCGTGACCGAGGAGGGCGATGCGGTGACCGCCCTGGTGTACATCGCCACGCCGCACAATCATCAGTTTGTGGGCCCCGCGAGCCCCCAGGCCATCGGCGCTGTGGTGGCCGGCTGCTCGGGCCACGCCGGCCACAATGTGGAGTACGTCTTGAGGCTCGCGCAGGCCATGCGCCAGCTGTGCCCTCGCGTGCGGGACCATCACCTGGAGGAGGTGGAGGTGGCGACGCTTCAGGCGCTGTTCACCCGGCATGTCTTGCTGTCTGTGCCAGCGAGCGTGAGCTACCCCACGGATTTGTTTGCAGCGCTCAGGGATTTTCTCAACGCCAACAAAGGGCTGGACTGCATCAAGGCATCTTTGGAGTCGTTCCGAACTTTCTTGCAGAGCATGCACTTTACTCAAACAACGGACTCCAAAGCATGATGTTCCCAGTGTATTGACAGCTCCTTCAGCGCTGTCCATTTGAGCAAGTGGCTTTAACCGGCATGCGTCATGGTCGTAGCATAAAATATTAAGCTCATGTTTACTGTAATATTTAAGTAAGAGCATGAATTTCATTGAAATCAGAAGGCCGTAAGTAATAATAACAGTCAAGGGTTGTCAATTGAGGCCTCCATCGTTATCCCTTGGGGGGATGATACAATGGGTAACTTTTGTTGTAAGGCAAGTGGTTTTCCTATGGATAAACCGGTCCCTGCCACAGGAAGGTGGAATCTCCACTCCTGGCTCAGGACCGCTACCTGAGATGAGTGCCACCCCAAATGCTTGCTTGAGAATGGGGACAAACTTGATGTTATATTTCATTTTAATATTCAGGTGATGAGCGTCCAATGCCTCACTGTCCAGACCACTGTTACATATTGTGCTGTAGAAAGTCTTAACGGTAATATTAACAAGCTGGCCTTGCTGTTCATTTCGAAGCGTTTAGTTAGCATTAAGTGATGCATGATTGGTTCATTTCGTACGTGGAGTTGAAGCTAGTGTAGTACTCTGAGAAAAACGGTTGTGGAAATATTTCTTATGTTATGTTGTGGTTTTTTTTTACTTGTTCCTCAAATGTGTTGCACTATGATGTGTGTGGTGGCAGTTTGTACTGTGATGAACGAGCCTATGGTGTGTGAACGGGAAATGCCTTACTGCCGTGGTCAGTATTTAGTGTTTTGCATGATTGGTGTATTCAGCTGTCCATGTCATAATAAAAACACGGTAAGGTTGAAAGCTATTCTTGAATTTATTAAAACAGCTTTGTAACATTTCAGCTACACATCCATATACTGTAATTTAGTAAAGTCATTCTGTGATTTTTTAAAAGTGTTTTTTCTGTGGTAAATGTGGAATCCACCTGTTCCATCAGTACGGGATCGTGTTTCCCCCTTGCACATCAGGGTTTTTTGTGGATGCTCCGGTTTCCTCTCGCATAAATGCGTGTGTGCGTGAAATGGATCATGTTTCAAACTCCAGAATAAAAAAACTAAGTATCAATTTAAGGAAAGAGTACAGTAACCCCTCTCGATCCGCCAGTGTGACATTCTTTAAAACGCTCGTGAATGCAGAAACCTTGTTTCAATGGGAAAATGGGGTCATGTTGCTGGTACGAGTGAACATAGGGGGGAAATGGTAAATGTTTACTAACAATGACTACAATAAATATATAATAAATTAGAAAGACCTATTTTTGTATTACCTTTGATTTCACAACGATGGATGTGGTGGTGGTAATGGGGAGGAATTCAGGGAGATGACTCCTCGGGAGAGGCAGGGGTTTGGTAACACTAGCTGCAACACTTTCCTTAATTGCATTCGCGTTCTTTTTAATGGGCCTTACAGTCGACTCGCATAAAGTAAACATGCACAATAGCGGGTTCAGAGCAGGACGACTGCGAGACTGAGAACTCAGCGGGCAGACATTTTCAAATATAAAATTATGTCGGTCTGTACACTTGGGAATACTGGAGTCTGGCGGATCACATAGGGAATTAGTATTCATTTAGTAACTCGCAAATTTGCGAAACTCACGAATACGGAACACGCGCATAGCGAGGGTTTCCTGTACTTGTCTTCATAGAGAGACTGGCCACCTCCACTGGAATGTGGAATGCTCACCAATTCTACCAATGGCTCAGGACCATGTTTGAAAACGAGCTATACCCAATATTAATTTTAGCAGGCAGATGCTAATCATCTACAAGCTCAATATCATCATTAACATTACTTCGCAGGCGGTGCAAGTACCAATGTAGCATGGTTGACATGCTACATTGGTACATGCAAGGAATTAAATCGGAGCCCCCTGTCCAACATCCCCCCTCTTATTAGCCTGGCCACTGGGCCCCTGTGGTCTGTGGCCACCGGTGCAGCTGCCTGCACGCTCGATAGCTATGCCATTGGGTACATGTCTATGATACAGCACTTTGGAGGCAGGGTTGGCTGTGATGAGCAAACGAACCGTGCTATGAGGCGGAAGAACAGAAAGTAGGTTTTTGACCCATCTGAGCGGACCTTTAAGTATTACCCCCTTCATATGCATGCTGGGTTTTCCCCAAGTACCCCAGTTTGCTCTCATGTTCAAACATCTCAAAAAGCAATTGGACAAACATCCCAATGCACAACCCTCAACTTAAATCACTCAGAATGAAATCTCTTTGCTGATGACACTGTCATGCTAGTGTAATGAGATATTGACATCTACTGGTTGGATAAGGGAAGCACAGGTACAGGCACCACTATAAACATCCAATCCCCAAAGGGAGAGGTATCTGGGCCAAAAGTGAAGGGTGGGGCCGGCCGAGAAACTCCAAGGACCGGCTATAAAGTTCCACGAGAGGGCATGGCCGGAGGCGGGGCCTAGCCGCGCCTGTGGCAATATGAGCAGAGGCGGAGGAGGACTCGGAGTCGGTGTGGGGAGTCTTGGGTCCGGACTGCGTTGCTGCTCGCCGTCATCTCTCTCCGTCATTCGGTCACGTGGCGGATCTCCTGCAGAGCTCCACCGCCCTCCCTGGCACGCCGTCAGCCAGCGGCGAGACTGGGAGCGGACGAGCGGAACCCGCCGTGTGATCCAAACGTGTGTGTAGTCTGTAGAACGTAATAGCTAAGTGTGTAATTGGAGAGGAAGCTGATACCGTTGGGCCTGCGCTGTGGCCGTACGTGGAATAAAGAAGAGTACCCTCGACACGACGTGTCGCGGAAGTCGCTCATTACACTAGTATGGGGTAAATCTCCAAACGAAATCAAACAATCTCCAACAGGAATTTGACTTCATTCAACCTTACCTTTCCTATACTTTGCACTCCTGTCGGTTTTTGTATTGTTTGTTGTAACTTTCTAACCCCACACCTTGTAACTGGGGTCCCAGGACCCAGGCTATAAGGTGGCACGAGGTGGTTAACCGCCTCGACCTGCTCGTGACCATCGGCCGGCTGGTCGTGCAGCTCTCCACGTCTGCACTTTCCATCCAGGGGACGGTGAGTGGACCGCCGGAGCTGCCTTCTGCAGCGTGGGTGCCCGCTGCGTAGACCACGCAGTTGCAGGCCACCATTTCGAGAAAGGAGGGCACGGTGGGGCCGGTGGGTGCCATTTGGCATGGGCCGAGGGACTCACCGGAGCTGCCGCAGTGGCGGTTCCCGCGGCGGAGACCACGTGGTTGTCGGGTGTCATTTTGCCCGTGGAGGGCATGGCGTGGCCGGTGGGCACCATTGAGAGTGGGATGCGAGATGACGCTAAGGAGGCGCCGCGTCTAGCGGCGCTGCAAAGGTGCCGCGTGCCGACCACGGAGCCTGCCTCCGGTTCGGGAGTTCGTGGCGGCAGGAGGCGACTGTACGGTGTTCCTTCATCGCTTCGAAGCAGCTTGGGTGTCTGTCGGGTAGACGGAAGAGCAGGTCCTGCGGGCCCTACCAACAGCCCTCGCCAGGGAGAGGCCCTTACGCCCGTTTTTTGTGTTCCTCGAAACCCCCAAGAAGCACAGGATCCTGCCCAAGGCGGCTGGACCGGCGTCAAGGGCTCGGTTCACGTGAGCATTGTCCGGTAAAGTGGACTCTCCCTTGTACTGTTGATTGGGGAAAGATGGCGTGTTAGAGGGTACTGGGCTTTGTATGGTGCTGTGTCGTTTGTGTTGACGGTTGTTGTGTTCGTTTTTTTTTGCCTGCGCCGCGCGCCGAGTGTCACTGCGGTTATGTTGTCGGTTTGCGGGAGGCGCCATGGTTCTGTTGTGTGCCTGCGCGCACGCCGACTTGCTCGGGTGGAGCAGTTGTTGGGTTGTTGGTTCGCGGGGAGTGTCGTGACTGGGGTTTTGGTTGATTGTTTTTTTTGGGTGTATTTGTTGTTCCTCGGTGATGTAGTGTAATAGCGCCGGCTGCTGGACAGCAGCGGCAACTGTGGTGGACAGATAGACACACTGGTGAGGGTGTGCATGGTGTGTTGGCAGAGAGAAGGAACTAGGGTAAAGGGTCGCAGAAGACCCCATCTGGAGGCCCCTGGAACCTGCTCGGGAGTTCGAGAAGGAAGGCGCGGTCAGGGCGGAGCCAGGCCGTGCTGGTAGCATAAAAGAAGCCGAGAGTGGGAGCTCGAGGCTGCCGGTTCTGGGAATGGACGCGTCTCGTTATTACTGTCGTCTCGTCGCCATCATCAGTAAACATCTCCTCTAGATATTGCGCTACGAAGGATAGTAGTTGGCTATTTCAGTCAGCGCCATCAGTGCTAGACGGCTAGTGTTGTATACAGGAAAGGCTAAACTACTGTGGAGAGTGTGCAGCTGAGACCGTGAAAGTTGTAAATAAAGAAAGTGCCTCCTAGAAACTATGTCTTTGAATCGTTGAGACAACACATACATAACCCACCCCAACTGGACGTCTGTGAAAAAGAGCCTCATCAGATTCCTCCAGTCTAAATACAGATTCTGATTTTGAAAAAAGTCTTGAAATCCAGTTAAGTGTCATCTTTATTATAATTAAGTTGGTAACATCACTTATACCGAGAGAGAAGGGTGCTTGGAGTGGTGTTGACATACATAATGACACAGCCACCATCCATCTGAGCCCCTAGCATGCTCTGATATCATCGCCTCTGCCGTCCCATCTCAATACCCGCAGGAATGTTACAGCATCTGAAGAATCTCATCCTTCATCGTGCTCTTGTGCAGTTACTATTAGATGAGAAATTTATGATCTGCATGTAAATTAAGCTAATCTGACTGGGTATTGCTTTAATTAGAACCGTTGACTAGAAAGGTTGTAAAGTTTCAACCCCGGTCAGGGTCAATCCAGCTCATCATCACCCTTCCAGAGTTGATCAAATAACTGCCACTTTTGTGGGAGGTATTGGATTGTGGAATTTCCACCAATTATTTTTAATTGCCAAATGAGCACCACCCCACGTTCATCAAAAAATTGTGAATGTTGTACGTTTAAGTCAAGGGCATTGGTTGATTCAGCCCATCGTCCTGTTGGGCTTTAAAAATGCACATCACTTTGTGAAGTCAGTGGTTTTACGGATGTCAAGTAAAGAGTTAGGATGGAAAATCTAACTTGTAGTCTTTCACGACCAATATCATGATTCATAATTACAGTTGATCATTGATTATCTGGCACACGATTATCCGGCTTCCAACATTATACGATGGCCCCAGGCCGATCCAGCGAAACTGCTCCAAAGGCTGTACCAATCCGGCGATCGACACCATGTGCATGACAAGAGAAGTAGTTATGCTTGATTTCAATGTCAAATATTATATACAGTACATCATACACTACATACAACTTAAACGATGAAAATACTGCACGCATCTACATTTTCCATGACTAGTATCTACAGTTAAAAAAAACAGAAAACATACAGTACGATCTGACGAAAAGTGCATTAATGCAGTGTTCGCTGGAACACCGGTCTAAAGGCTGCATTAGTCTGCCGATAGTCATAACACATGTTGCTGAAACGGAGTCTTAGAGATTGTAGTAGTAAGCACGGTACACTAAATACAGTGGTATATTTTTTTTCTATTTGTATATGTATTGCTTCTGTTGATGATGTTCTTCTTGATGTTGTTGCAGTTGTTGTTTCTGCTGTTATTGTTGCTGTTGAGTATGAACATGGTATGGGATGAGACGAAACAGTCTGGTAGACTGAGCCTTCAGCATGTGTGGAGGAATCAATGAGTGAAGTTTATTGGAATCGCATCCATGGCGGTAGCAATAGAAGAGTGATGAGGAGGCCATTGACCACCGGTGAGCAAAGTAACTGTCAGTGAGTCTGGAATCATCTATACTGTATATGTAGGGGTGTTGCGGGAAGGAAACACACAGTCACATCTTGGTGGCTACAACCACGTCCGCTATAGCCCCGCCCCTCAGTGGTGTATGGGTATAAAGGGCGGGGAGCCAGAGAGCTCGGGGCAGAGTGTTGGGGTAAGCCAAGAGTGAAGAACCAGTGCAGAAGGAAGACCGGCTAGATAGACCCTGGGACTCCCCTGACCGCAGTCCTTTTGAGGGCCGGCAGGGTAAGCCGGTGGTGTGGCCCCAGAGCCTCAGAGCCGGAGCCCTTTTAAGGGTTGGTCTGGTTGGTGGGGTGCCGTGATCTGTGCTTTGACCAGGGCCAGGTCAGATAGCCTCCTCTCGCGCCTGTAGCTGGAGGAACTGTCAGCATAGGGGTTAGGCTGTTAACCTAGAGGGTGTCCCAGCAT